TAGGGCTGTGAGGATGGATCCCTGTGGGGCTGAGGGGATTGATCCTATAGGGCTGTGAGGATGGATCCCTGTGGAGCTGTGGGGATTGATCCTATAGGACTGGGGGGATCGGTCCCTGTGGGGCTGAGGGGATCGATCCTATAGGACTGAGAGGATCAGCTCTAGGACTGTGGGGATCGATTCTATAAGACTATGGGGATCATTCCCGTAGGTCTGTGGGGATCGATCCCCTTGAAGCTCTGGGGATGGATCCCTGTGGGGTTCAGCGTGTCAGCCCCTGCAGCAGGGCTTTGGGGATCAGCCCCTGTGTGGCTGTGGGGATGGATTTTATTATTGCTCCCTGTGGAGCTCTGTCAGCCCCACACAGCAGTGCTGTGGGGATGGATCCCTGTGGGGCTCAGCGTGTCGGCCCCACACAGCAGAGCTGTGGGGATGGATCCCTGTGGGGATGGATCCCTGTAGGGCTCAGCGTGTCAGACCCACACAGCAATGCTTTGGGGTCAGCCCCTCCCCAGCACCCGGTGCCACGGACAGGCCTCACACTGGTGGTTTACAAAAGAGACTTTATTGCTGCGCTGCTGCCTGGGCACAGCCAGGGACAGGCGAGGATCACCGGGGGGCCTCTGCCGCCCTGGCCCCGCAGCTCAGAGAAAACCCGCGTGGAAAAACGGCCTGTGGGCCCGCAGGAGATTCTGTGAGGGCAGGTGAGCTGTGGGCTCACACGGGGCTGGGAAGCACCAGCGGCCGAGAGCCGGTGCCCGGTGCTCCCCACACCGGGAGCCTCGGGGCCGCCTGTGTCTCATCAGGGCTGCCTGCAGCCGGCACACGGAACCGACCGCTCCCACCTCCTGTGGGGAGGGAATCTGGGGCAGGACCCCGAGGTTGGGACAGCACTGCTTGAAGGAAAATAATTCTTTAAAAGTAAAGCAAGTTTATATATTGGGTTATGTGAGCAGCAGCAGCCTCGTGCTGGGGGAGCAGGATGGGGAATGCGAGGCTGGGGCTTACAGCGGGGCTGAGTATGTAAGAGGCAAGCTGGGCTGAGCCAGGCAGAGCCCCCAAGGCACCGTGTGCTGCCCTCCTGCTGCCTCACCCAGGGCATGGAGTGAAGCTGCAGAAAGCAGGACACAGGGAGGAAGGCACAGGACGTGGGCATGGGCATGAGCCTGAGCTGTGCCAGGACACCTGCAGAAAGCAGATGCTCAGAAATGCTCCAGGTCCAGTGCTG